TCATGTGATTTTGATATTTCTCCAAGGACACAAAATTGGCTCTTCTATATCCCAAAAATGCTGTAACTGTTTGATGTCGAAGGCTCCCTCTTGTCGCGCAGTCTTTTTTAGTTTCTTTTTTCCGGTAGCACAAGAAGTCTCGGAAATAATTATATTTAGAAAATATCTGAACATTTTATACACTCTAGTAGAGGTGGGCGCGGGCCGTGAAATTACGCGTGACCCATCGTGTCACGGTGGGTCACGGCGTGAGTGTAAATAAATTTTTAATTCCAAGGCGTGACTGGGCGTGACGGGTCTTCCGAAAATTTTCCCCGGGCGTGATCGGGCGTGAACATAAATTTCCCGTGAATCACGGAAATTTTTATTTTAAAATTGTTTTTTTATAAATATAAATTTGCAATTTTTTAATTATATTATATATTTTCCTATTAATTTAGTTCCTCTTTAAAAAAAGAATAATTTATGAAAACTAAAAATCTTCCGCATTTTATAAACAACATCTTTCATTTCGTTAGTTCTATTTTCTTTTTTATGTTTAGGTGTTTTTTATCGCGAGAATTTATGCTAAATTTTGCTTAAACATTTTACAGAAAAGTCAGTTATATTTTATTTGTAAAGATCTTCAATCTTTAAATGCAACAGAAAGTGAAGGATTTTACAAGCTAGGCCAAGAGATAAATGTTGGTGTTACATATGGATAACAAAATATAAAAGTTGTGGACCGGAAAACTCACGAATACTATAAAAATATACCATAAAATAAAATTTAAGATTAAAAGCATGATCAATAATAATTACTTGTCCATAATCACTGATATTTGACGGATGACTATAAAAATCTAAGTTTTTTAACCATTAAAGGACATATTATCTTTAAGGATTTTAAATTAAAACATTTGTTTTGGCCACAAAGGCAATGGATAAAAAAACGTCAAAATTAAAAGTGCAGTCAATTCAATTTTAGGAGAATATACAGAAGTAGAAAATTACTTAAAAAAATGTATAGTTGTGACTTGTGAGTGATAACGGAGCAAATCTTATAAGTGCATTCAAAGATGACGAAACGCTAGCATGTATATGCCATATACAAATAATATTATACATTATGTTTTTTGACAATTGTTTAATTGAAATAGTCTTAAATATAAATGGTGTAAAAAAAATAGTACTATATTTCAAACAATCTACAGTTAATAGCAAACTAAACCACACCCTTAAACAAGATGTAACACCGAGAATAACGAGATGGAATGTATATATCATGATGCAGAGTTTCTTAAAATCATATTCTGAAATACAGGCGTACTTGTTTAGCAAGCAAGAATTAAATAGATTAGCCATAATTGATATCAACATCGCGAGTTAGATAAATTTTTATCAATATTTAAAGAATGCTCGGATAATCTGAGAGCAGATTCTCGTCCCACAATAAATGAAGTTTGTCTGTGGAAACAAAAATTATTAAAATTTTGTTAACCTTCTGAACGTGATACAATAATAATCAAAACCTCAAAATACAGAACAAGATTTCTTTTAAAAGATTATTATGCAGCCACTACATAAGGTAGGCTTAATTCTACATCCGAATTTAAAGAAGAAAATGATATATATAAAATAAACTTAAAAATGCTAAATGATATAAAATTAGATGATATGCAAAAGTCAATGCCAACTATCATTTATAGCTTTCCTAACTTATCCTAAACTCATAAAAAACCGTATATTCTAAATGGTCAATACCAACTATCACTTTTCTAATTCATCCTACACTCATTAGAGAATTTTTACATGATTCTGATGAAGCATCAACATCATCGATGAAGGCTGTGAGGATGAACTTAAAAGATTCATATAAGATAAATAACAAAACAATATTTGAAGTTTTGGAAGCAGGAATATTTATTTCCTTTTTTGAGAAAATTATCGAGTAAAATTTTGTCAGCTGCAAGTTTGGCTTCTAGTGAAAGGTTATTTTCTATAGCCAATCTCTTATTAGAGGAAGTGCGTATACAATTGAAATAAAAAAAGATGGACATTCTTCTTTTTCTAAATAGATTTCGATTTATAGATTATATTTATTTTTTGTTATTAATGTGGATTATGAAATTAGAAAAATAAATAGAATGAATTCAAAAAAGTGTAAAATTATAGCAATAGTTTTGAAAAATTTAAAAACACCGTGAATTTTCGGGCGTGACGTGCGTGAATCAAAATATTGCTTGTCGTGAGCGGGCGGGTCGGGTCAGAAATTCTTTAGTGGTAAGCGTGAATGGGCGTGAATTTTATTTATTGCCACCGTGAGCGGGCGGGCCATAAATAAAAAATTAGGCCCGCGCCCACCTCTACACTCTAGAAATTTTAGCATAGTTATTAATAGAAATTAAATAGAATTTTTTTGGTTGATAAAATTTTCTTATATTCATCAGTGTTTAAGGTTTATGTAAGAAAATAAACTGTTTTCGCGAGATAAAATATTAATTTATAAGAAATAAACATTAAATTAATAGGCATATTTCTTTTTCATTATAACATTTTTTTAGCATTAAAAATAAATAATATATCGTCGGTCTAGAATTGGAGTGCTCCACTTGCGCAAATGTTTAAAATGAGAAAATCAACAATAAGATTTAAAATCAAATATTGGAAAAATTTATTGATCAATTTATTTAAAATTTTTTGCTTAAAATATTTAAATATAAAATTTATTTGATAATATCAAAATGCAAATGAAGCAAATATAACGCTTTATGATTCTATATATGTTCAAAATGCTCCATAAAAACTTTAAATCATCGAAATTAACACTATATCTTATTTTTTTAAATTTATTTAATTAATGATAATTCAGCACATTTTTTAGAATATAAATCATTAAGTATTTTATAATTGAGACTTCCCTCAAACTACTCCTTAGAAGAATCTTTTTGCCTGTAATGTGTATAGACACTTGGAATGGTGTTTATATCAATGATAAAATCTTTAACTCCATCACAAAAACTTTTTTGTATTTTTACCTTTTCTAGGAACCAAATAAGTTCCAGTATTTTGGTATAAATTTTTAAAGAAATAACTAATGTTTATTACTGATGTCAAGTGTTTGTAAAAAAATTATCTGCAAACTCTACTTTTAACATTATCCACTTCAAAAAAATATAAGTATGAACAGTATTTATAATTTAAAAAAATTTTTTGTCCTTCTCTAACATGGAGTCCGAGCAATAAATTTACTATAGAAGCTTCATCAGCTAAGCTCCAAAAAGCCTCATGTTACTCTGATCAGCATAAGTTTTCTTATGACCTGAAATATACATTTATTCGTATGATCTTCATGAACAATCCTAACTCTTTTTATATAACCTTTAATATTAATATAGGTCACCTATTTCTCTTAATCATTTTCTTTCATTGGCTTTACTTCTAGAAGTTGAAGGACTATGTAAGGTTTATAATAATAAGAGTAATTGTATGTAAAATTTAAATTCAATTTTTATATCTTTATTTAATGAGCAAGTAATGCTTAATAAAAAAAATTTGAAATTTTACATAATTAAATATAAATTCAATTTTATGTAATCTTTTTTTAAATTATGAGCAAGTAGATTATTAAAAAATTGTGATGAATTTTACATACAAATTATTTAATTTAAATTCAATTTTTATATCTTTATTTAAAGATTACACATGAAAACATATTAAGACTAAAAAATAATAAAAAATTTACTCAAAATAATTTAGAAATAGATCTGGAATGAAAATATTTTACTATTCAATATGGAAAGCAAAAAATTAGAAAAGGTGGAAAATACATCACGTGATTAAATATGATAATAGGATAGGCCATGCATATGAAGCAAAAATTACATCGTTATATGCAAATAGCACAAATGAATATTTTTTAATCTAGTTTTTATTTATATATATTGGAAAGTTATTATCCACGTCTAACTCAAAATTTTGAAAATGTCGAGTGGGGTACTCCAATTCTAGACTTATTAATGCAAGCTATATAAGCTAAAGGCTGCATGATTCGAAAATTTAAAAATTAATATTGAAAAAAAAGGGTAAATAATGTTATCGAGTTACATTTATATAAAATTTATTCTTTACTTATTTTTTTGGTTTGTTATTTTTATCTGTTATCTTACTGTGAGTAATAAATTTTGCTTGTCAATATATTTAAAATATGACGAAAAAAAATAAGAAAATTAATTACAAAGAAAAATGTTATATTCTGTTATATATAAATTTTTTAAGCATAACTATTAAAAAGTATCTGTATCTTTTGTCAAGAAAATGTAAAAGATTCTTTTCAGAATAAAGGACCTTAGATACAGATGCAAGTATCTTATTAAAATTACAATAGATATTGGTTCAAGAGATAAAAATTTCTTGTGTCTTAGATACAAGTATTTCGCGATATTTTTAAAAGATCAGAACGAATTTTGTTGTTAATAATAATGTATACAAATTAAAATGCTCGTTCTCTAGTCGAATCAAGTGCATCACTTGAGTTAGTCGACTAACGATTACAGCATCTGATTCGGAGTAGCATGAACTCGACTTTTTAATACTAGGGATAGCTCAAAATTATTATTTCTTGTTTTAGTGGAAATGCTTGTACACATAACAATTTGTTTAAAAATAATATCTTTACGAGAATTTTAAAGGCTACAAGATTATATTAAATTTGTAACTTTCAATTAAATATTTTTCGAGTAAATGAAAATGCCCGCATTAGACTTAACCGAATATATTTGAGCTAGAGCTTTTAAATTTTGATTTATATAAATTTTCAGATTATTCACCATAACAAGTTTCATTCATTTGTAAAAAAATATTATGAAAATCTCATTTTATTGGTCCATCTGTAATGGAATGACTTATTTTTTATTTTTCTATTATAAATTTATTTTAAAATATGATTCGTGTTTTGTATTGTTTTAACAATTGTAAAACTTTCTCGAAATATTAATGTATTTTTTTGGACAATACCGAAGATGAAATTAGAATTGGTCGTTAAAAAACCCCAACACATACTTTACAAAGTGGGTTTAGGTATGGGTTACCTTGAATTAACCCAAGTTAGAATACCACTAAAGGACAAACGGTTAAAGAAATCATTTTTAGATAGCAAAGGAGTCTATATTTTGGATTCATATTCTTGCGACGTTTTTATATGGGTTGGTAAAAAAGCTAACAGATTGGTTCGAACAGCTGCTTTCAAGTTAGCCAAGGAAGTCATCTACGATTTTGAGCGCAGGTAGATTTTATTTATTTATATCTTATTTATAATTTTTTTATATTGATACCATGACCAGTGGATTAAAATTTGTGTTAACGAAGATTAAAAATAATAATCAGAGATGTGCCTATACCACTTTTTGCCTAAACTGTCGGATATCGACAAATATCTGGTACCAATATTTATATAAAAAAATTAACTGGAAAACGAACAGAATAACTTATCCATATATTTAAATTCATTATTTTTTTTTAAAATAAATATTGTAAAAATAATCATGAAATGAAATAAAAATTTGAATCTGAGATTCTCTTTCTTTTCGGGTTGTGATTAGTTTCTTTTCTTACAAAGGCACCAGGGTAATTCCATAACTAATTCAAAATAACATGATTTCGGACGACCATTTTTAAAATGGATAAGATTTGGCATGAAGGCTAAATAGATTGTATATTTTATACAATTGAAAATGTTAATGCCCTACCTCAAATATATTCCGATTATAGGCCTTAAAAATTTGATGAGGCCTTTTCCTCTTTTAAAATACTTAAAATATATTTGGTCTAAAATAACAAATTTTATATCATTGTGTAGCCCTTAAAATTCTCCTTAAGAAAATGCAAAAATTATTTTAAAAATATCTTCAATGTCGTTTCCGGGAAAATATAAAAAAAAATTTTAAAGTGCTCCATTTAAAATGATGAAATTTTTAATAAAAATATTAATGGAGAAAATAAGAATTTAAATTTTATTTAGTTTTTTATAATTTTAGGTATAGAAAAATTAAGAATAAATGGCGTTTGAAACAATGAAACTCATCATATACATTTATTACCAATATATTTAAATATTTAAGTAAGAAAATATTAATGGAGAAAATAAGAATCTAAATTTTATTTAGTTTTTATAATTTTGGGAATAAATAAATTAGTTATAGATGGCGCTATTTTTAGAAGTTAATTATAATGTATTTTATAAATTAAACATACATATTTTTGCATCCTAGTAAAAAATATATTATAATTATCTTTATATATATAGCGCCCCTATGATTGTCTTAAAATTATAAAATCTAAATAAAATTTTAATTCTTATTTTTTCCATTCATATTTTTAACTAATCCATTAATATCTATACTTAAATATACAAATATATTGGTAATAAACACATTTCATGAGTTTCAAACATTTAAAATGGGGCACTTTAAATAATTTTTTTGTTTTACCGGAAATACAACCACACTGAAGATATTTTCAAAACAATTTTTGCATTTTCTTAAGGAGAGTTTTAAGGGCTACAAAATGATATAAAATTTGTTTATTTTAAGATTCATTAAATGAGGAGGCCCATAACTTGGGATATATTTGAACTAGGGCATTAAAATTTGGATGTATAAAGTATACAATCAATTTAACCTTTAAGCCAAGTTTCGTTCATTTTAAAAATGGTCGTCCGAATCACTGGTCAATTTGTCATGGAAATACCCACCAACCAAACGGAATATATAAAATTATTTCTTAAAAAAGAACGAAAAGACAAGTAAATCTTTTTCTAAAATTATAAAAATAACACAGATTGATATTATTTTATATTTATTAGTCATTTTCAGAAACCCAGAACAAGGGCATTTTTGCATTCCAGTTCAGGTCAAAAAGTTGCTCACTTTCAACTTTCGGAACGTTCTTTATACACATTTAAATTAATCTTTATTTAATCATTAAATGAAACAATTATTACATATTATCATTCATATTGGTTCTTTGTAGTGTTAGTATAAATTTGAGTGTCAAAAAACATCGTTCAACACTTTCCTGGCTATGGATGATTTATTATTTATAATCAAAAATAAAATTATCCATTTAAAATTTTATTTAATAAGAAAAAATATAGAAAAAAACAATTAAATAAATTTTTAAATTTGATAAAAATGTTTCCTCTCTTTTTATTTTTTTATTCTAATACTTGTTTGACAATTGTTATTACCTTTCTACTATTGTATAGTTTAATATGATTATTAATTATTTATTAAAAAAATTATAAAAGAAAATAAAAAGAACTTAATTTATGCAACTGTTACATGGATTAAAAAATTTTATTTTTTTAATTATTGAAATAAATAAGAAATTTATATACATATATTTTTGGGAACGTTCCTTGCAAAATTTCATTGAAAAATTATCCAATTAGCCTTTAGAGGGTTGAATAATTTTCTATCGGCCGATATTAGGGATTTGTGCATCTCTGATTGTTAATTTTTTATATTTTATAAATCAAATTTTTTAAATTCTAAAAATGATATAAATTAAAATAAGAGTTTTACTTTTAAAAGAAGATTAAAAAATTAGTAGTCATAATAAAGTTAATTATTGTAGCTTCGTATTTTTTATACTGATAGACCTGGATACAGTGAAATTATCCATCTTTTCGAAGGAACAGAGACTCAAATGTTTAAATGCAAATTTTTGGGTTGGAATGACGTCTTGGCTGTTGACCACACTCGCTCTATTCAATCTATTAACAAAAAAGGTCATGATTGTTCTTTAATTAAAACAAAAATGATATGGTAAGATATAAAATAATTATTATACTGTTCTGATTTCCATTTCAAATTGCCAAAATAGTCATTTATAAATATTGTATTAGTATTAGTAAGTTTACTATGTTAGAACATCACATGAACTGGTCCTAGTCGATAAATAATCAGACCGGATTTAATTTTATTATGAGTCAAGCTGAACTGGAGCTGATTTGATTTTTTTAAATTTAGTTTTATTAAAATTTAAATCGTTTTTTATGATCTGATCACCTGTATTTTATTTATCGAAAGTTTGATTTATTGAAATCCCCCCCCCCTTCGGTAATTGGATAGATTACGAGCTAATATAATTGAACTGGATATATTAAATTATACGATTTGTTTTAGGTGTCTGCAACGGGTGGGGGATTAGCGCCTGCCCATCCCTCTAGCTGGCGTGCTGACTTTCTAAACGATTTTAAACATTGGGCTTGTGGCAGGTGGATAAAAAATATTTTTTAAAACAATGGGAGGTGAATTTTAAATATTTTTCGGACGCAATGAGCAGAACAGACTTCTATTAATTTAAAATATTTTTTTATTTCATAATATTACCTATCTTATTAATTTAATTTTAAAAAAATAATTTTTAAACATTGGGTTGGTAGTCTAGTTAAACAAAATTTATAAATAAATTAACGGTTGGGTAAATTTAAAAAAAACTATAAGCGCGAATAAAAATTTTTAAAACAATGAGTGGGCGGGCTTTCAGGTTAAAACTCACTCATTACAGATCTGTAATTTGTCTTGATACCAGCAGCACATCAAATAAATTTATTAAATATATTATCAGGTTTAGGTATTTTTTTGGCTATTGTTACGGAGCACGGGTGTCGCAAAATAGTCTCATACAAAAAATTTATCCATATATACATAGACAGGTTAAATTAAAAATTTAGTGAAGATGTATCATTGATAAGTGACAATTATCATAATCGTTATTTTTATAATTTCTTGATTTTTTGACACAAATGGCTAAAATAAGTATTGGTAACATGTTTAAATAAAACTTCATAGAAGAAGTACCTTATATAAATGACAATTGTCATAATCTTTATTTTTTAAATTTTATGAATTTTATGACGCAAATGGCTAAAAATATAGATTGTAAAAATGCCAAATTAAAATTTCAAGAAGATGTACGATAGGAAAGTAACAATTGTCATAATCGTTATTTTTAAACAATTTTCAATATTTTTTGAGATATCATTTTGAAAAAGATATTGTGTTTAAATTTTATTGAAATAATTCAGAAAAGTGCGAATTATAACAATCTTCGTTCTACAACTTTCTTATATTTTTAAAAAATATGTTGGTATCATTTGGCAAAATAAAAAAACAAATGGCAATTTTAATACTCATAATCCTCCCGTTTGCTTAAAATTTGATAAAAATATGGTAATTACTAAAGAGAATTGTAACTCATGTTAAATTCTAAACTTTTAAGATATAGATTCACAATCTTATTACTTAAATTAATAAATTTTATTTCTACATCTATTAAAATGTAAAACTCTGCACTCACAGTTAGCCAAAATTTTGTATACTAACGGCGAAATCTTGCTAAGTCTGAATTCAGGGTAAGACTTTTATTAAAAGGACTTAAAACCCATACGAATATTATTTATCAATATGATACAATCCCTAAAAATTTTATCTTAAGATTTTGAATTTTATAAACATATGGCAAAAATAGATTACAATCTATATTTTATCACCCATTTGCGTCAAAAATCTTTAAAATTAACGATCATGACAATTGTCACTTTTCCATGCTACATCTTCTATGAAATTTTAATTTAACATGTTTACAATCTGTATTTTTGCCCATTTGCCTCAAAAAAAACTTTAAAAATAACGATCATGATCTTTTTTATATGGTAATCTTAATTGAAATTTTAATTTAACATGTTAAAAATTTATATTCACCTAAAAGATTGTTTATTTATAATAAAATTCACAAAAGAATTCCTCAAAAAAGATTTATTTACAAAGAAGATTTAAAATTTTTATCAAATTAAAATATGTTTCAAAAATCTTTTTTAACTTCAAAAATCTTTTTTAACTTCAAAAAATATTTTTGCTTAAAATTCTGGGCATGAAAATCACTAATAAATTGTAACAAAAATAATATTACAATTAGCATCATATCATTTTTTTTATTAAAAAAAAATCAAATAAATAAATCTATTCTCATAATATAATAATTTAAATAAAAAATATTAAATCATATAAATATGTTTATTTGGGGATAATAATAAAATTTAACATTAAATTTAAATAAAAAAATTATTTTACTAAAAATAAATAAATAATAATTAATGCTAGGCATATCATACAGAACGCTGACGGACGATTAGCCGATGCAAAATTTTCGACTAATTTAGTTTTAGCCGATTTTTAGGCTTTGGTGTAGTTTGCCGATTAAGCAACACTAATCTTATCTTTAAAAAAATATTTGTAGAAGTATTTTATTATTGATTTAATATATGTCTTATAGTGCGCACAAATCGAACGTTTCAACGCTGCGTTTCAAAACGCAAATAATTGATCACATTTACGTTTTGCATTTTAAATTATTTATTAAAAGTCAAAATAGCTTGCGTTTTTTGAAACTTTTTTAAATTTTGAAGTGATAGAATATAACATCTTAAAATGTAAAAATTATTATTAAATGATACAATAATATTTTTAGCACATGGAATGAGCCTGGTTTAGATACTAGTACCTTATATCTAAAAAAGAAATTGAAATATTTTAGACCAATTGAACAAATCAGGTTCTAAAGAAGGAAAACTTGAATATAAATAAAAGGAATATACATTTTATGCAAAAGACTGTTGCAGATAGCAACATCAAACAATTTAGATGTGTTACCCTCATACAAAATAAAACCTAACGCATAATGATATTAATAGATTATTTAATGTATTGGAAGAAAACATCTGGAATGCAGTAAAGCTCATTTTTATATATAATTTATAAAGATTTTTATGGAAAGCCTTGTAGAAGATGTAGAAACTTTTTTTTAAATTTAATTTAATAAAAATAATTATTTTTTTTCCGGTCATGCTTATATTTTTTAACACAATATATTAGACATGCTAAAAAATAATATAGTTTTATTTTGATAATATAATTATAAATACAATATAATATAGCGAGTAAAAAGATATTTTTATTTATAAAAAAATTTTCTTCACAATTGTTTTAAAAATTTTCTAATAACACGCTCTACAGGGGCATATGAGGGGATTGCGATATTATACTTAATAAACAACTCTTTTAACGTGGGGAATTTATTAAAAACATTTATTGTTTTGTCCTTTGCTTCAAAAAATTGAGATAAGTTATCTTTCACCAATCTATCCACTACTTCCTCGTCAAAAAAAAGATATCTCGAAATTAACAGTTCTTGCATTATCATTTCTAGGGTTTTCAATGCATTTTTTTAATAACGCTATAAGTTTATTTTTTAGAGGTTCGTTCTGTGAAAGTTTATCCATGGCCATTGAAGCTTGAATACTGGAAGTATAATTGCAGAAAGAACTTATTGATCTTCATATAGTATATGTTCAAATCTTTAAAAAAAATAAAATATATGTAATTAATTGAGAGTGATAGCTTTAATACCTTTTATTAATCCCATTTAATACTGCGTCTATCATTGATTGACCATATTTTAGGCCACTAATTTTTTTAGTTTTAAAATAACTATCGTTATCGTTGACGTCAAGTAGCCCAAATGCATTTTTTCTTCAATTTAATGATTTTGCTTAGTTATAATATATTATATAAAATAATTAATATTAGAATCAAATGTCGTTTTAATTGGAACTGAAGATTTTGAAACTGATATAATTTTTGGGCACATTTTACATTTGGTAAGTATTGAATTAGTTCCTTCAATATAGGATGTTACTGTAAAATATTTATCATATTTTGGCCATTGTGTTAATTCATCTGATTTTGAATTTTCATAATCAGATGATGTTGAAATAATAATATCCATGCTTATGCTAATCTATTAAAATATAAACTATAATAATGGCGTGTTAAAAAAATTGAAATGTGAAAAAGGAAAAACAATTGATTATAAATTATAAGACTTTTTTCTTAAAAATTCGGATTAGTATTAAATATAAATAAAGTGTTTTTAAAATTGAACGAACGTTAAATTCGGCCGCGTTCGTCATAAAAAAGGAATGCATGTGGTTAGCCGATTGACATTTCCCACCCGAGCGATATTTAATAATAAATGATTTATTATGTGGTTTGCCGAGTGATATTTAGTAATAAATGATTTATTATGTTGTTAGTCAAGCAATAAAATAAATAGACCCACCGATTTAAAAAGTTATTAACTTTTCCTAATTTATCTTTCAAATTCGTATATAATGTTTACAATTTTGGGGTATTTTATTATCTTAAAATGTTATTTACTAGAGCAGGTAAATTTGCGATGGAGGTAGGGGGTTTAGTTACGCGTCTGCTACAAATTTTCAGTATTTCACTTTCTAAAATTGATATACAACATAAGCAACGATTCCTATTATATAGCATATTATAAAATTTTCATTTATAAGATATTATGACCTACACTACAATTTCACATATATATTTTCTAAAATTGATATAAATTAAAGATATTATCTATTAAATGGAAGTATAAAACCAGAAAATTTTAAAAAATGGGAAGAGATAAAATATGATTTCGAAAAAGAAATTTAATTTAATTTTCACGAATTTAAAGGAAAACATTTTTTTTTTGACACCTAAAACCCTTGAACCATCCACTTTTAAAAAGAGTTCTGGTTGAGGTACAGCCAAAATACCAGTGTTTAGTAGATCAGGTTCACATCCCAGCTATTAGGTAATAAATAAAAACATTTAATATATCAGAGAAATATAAATAAATAGTTAATGACTAAATTAAGTAATAATGATAATTTATGCAATATTTAAAAGCATAATTTATGAAGTATTAATCAGGGATGTGAACCCTTCGACAAAAAAAAAGGGTCCGGGTTCGGGTCCGGTAATAAATTTAAAAGGGACCCGGGTCCGGGTTCAGAGGGAACATAAAAATAATGACTCAAAATAAGACTTTTTTTCATTCATTTTTTATTATACTTCAATATATACACATGAAATGAGATTTTATATTTTAAATATTTTATTCAATCGCACAATCATGATATCTTCTAAAATATCATCCTTCAAATTTCCACGTAAATTAGTCAACGATGAAAATCTACTTTCTACGCTTACCTAAAATAGATAGTCATTTTTATAATACATAAATTATTGTACTTGTGTTGCCGGCACAGCCATGACGATTCTAGAAAAGGTATATAATTCTGGATATATTGAAGAATTTTCCTCCCAAAATTTTAAAATGTTTGCATCTCTATTTATTCTCATAACTTCCGAGAACTTTCTATTAAAGATACAATAGATATTTTTTGCTCCTTTCTATCAGATGATAATTTAATTTTTTTTCTCTATCTAATAGTAAAACTTCCAGATCATCAATATCGTTATCATTAACATTGTTATCGCTACAACCAGTAGATATTGTTGTAACCACCAATGTATTGTAAATAATAGAGTTTTGGGTATTCCATAAATCTTCAAGATGTTCTATAGCCATTTGTTTTTGCTCACTACTTAATAAAACCATCGCGGGTCTAAATATATAGAAGCATATACAACACTATTTTGTAAATATTGTTGCTCTCTTATTTTGGTATTTTCTAATACTTCATTTGAAAAAGAACTTGTTAATCTCCCTAACTCTAATCGACATCTTAACCATATGCCATAAAAATCCGATAAACATAATTGTTCTGCTTGCACTCTCAATGTTGTTATTTTTAAAGGAACCAGCACACTAGTAATCTCTTTTACTTGATTCCAATCATCTTCTGACAAAATGATTTCACATGCTCCTATGATAAAATCATTACAGAAATCTTTCAAACTTAATAATCGCTCTAGCATCATACATATAGAGGACTAACGTGTTGTGCAATCTAAAATTGCCATTTACCTTTTCATGGATTTTAATATTCTAACAATTGTAGGAGTTCTTAAATATTTTACAACATCCCTTGCTTTATCAATTATAGTTTTAAAGTGACTATTTTTTAGGGAGATTCCACGAAAAAAATTAATAAAATTATAAAAATTTTATATTATTTTTTTAAAAATTATATTTTTACATTAATTTAAAAAAAAAATTTAAGTTAAAAATTTTTAGCACCCTGAACCCTTGGACCCTCCACTTTTTAAAAGGGTCCGGGTTCAGCCAAAATACGAGGGTTCAGGGTCCGGGTTCACATCCCTGGTATTTAGGTTAATTTATGCAATATATTTTTTTAACTAAAATTTACTTCTAAATATATGAAAAAAGGAAAATCGGCAATCCATTAGGGGGGGGGGGGGGTCATTAGTAATTTTGAAAAAAAAATGGGAAGGCTTGGTTGATTTGATTGGATTAGTCATATTATATCTTCCTCCCTATATTTAACGTAATACTAAATATATTTAATCATATTAAAATAAAGGAATGGATATAAAACAGTTTTTGAAGGGAATACATAATGAAATTGATTTATCAGCACTTTTTAAAGTTCGTCAACCAGCTTTAGATGACGAAAGAGCGAAGGCACTAATAAATGAATGGAATGAAGATCTTGAAACCTTAGAATGTTTTGTGCTGGAAGGCAAAAAATATGTTAAGTTACCGGAAAATGAAATAGGTATTATATATTTTTATCATTCTAGAGAATAAAAAATTGTGAATAATTAATTCTCTCAATAGTTATATCTTTTGAATTTATACATGTAATGATTAATGATTTTATCCACATTATTACAAATAAAGGTCAGTTTTATTCTGGAGCGTGTTATGCTTTCATTTGTAGATATTGGGTCGCGGTTGAAATTAAAAATCAGGCATTCATAACCATTAAGTCCATAAAAAATAATGAACGTTCTGCTTCAAGTATAAAAGAATAATTTATTTTTTTAATGTCATATAATAATTTGTTTAGTTAGTTACTATTATAAGTTACTTCATCTTTTTCTATATTTTTTTGAAAAGGCAATTTTTAGTTTATAATTTATTTATAATATTTAATTAAATGAAGATGTGGAGTCAGATTCGGAAGATAAGGATGCTGATAGAATAGGAAATGTTATTGATTTAAATAAACCTTCTGAAAATCATTTCTGGGAAGAAAAATTTCAACCTGTTATATATTTTTGGCAAGGAAGAGATGCCAGCACTATTGGGTGGTTGACATTTTCTTTCGGGTATTACTTTAAAAAAAAATGTTGAATATATATAATTATAGTAGTCCTAGACCTGTGTTACGCTGATAATTTTTGCCACGCCGAAAAGGCCACCTATTAAGTTGAGCCGCGTCGATAAGCTCGCCACCGATTTAACATAATATATTATGTATAATTTTAAATAGATTTTTGCATTTTATTAAAATAAATAGCCTGCTAAACTATATGTCCCTTTTCTCCAATTATTTATTCGTGTAATAAATTTTAATGGACTCAAACGGATTAAAACAAATAACAACGCTCTATAATATTAAGAAAACTAGTCATCTCATGTGTAAAGATACTTCGGTAAAATAATTTTGGAGAAAGAAATTAAGAAAAGCACATGCCTGATATTTTTTATTGTGAACCATGCTTGAAATTTGCGAAAAAAATGAAGAATAGTCTAAACATCATTCATATTCATTTTCCAAATATTTTGATATAAGATTTTACACCACTTCAATTTTTCATTAAGTGTCTAAAACTTATTGACAATGATCGAAATGCGACTTAAACTCATATAATGCAAAAATAACTCGAAACCATTCCATCTTATGTAAAGATTTAAATAATAACAATTTAGAGCAATATGCACAATCATTTTGGAAAAAAACGATTGGCATTCTCGAAATTATTTAATTTAGCTATAAAAGTTGTTTACAAACGCAACTAGTGGACCTACCGAAATAATTATTTTTATAGCTTAATTAATACTTAACGCCAAAAGAACATATCCTACCAATTTTAATATAATCAGATTTATCGATGAAAATTATCATTTAGCTATATTTGATTTTAGTTATTTATATTTATTACCTAAATATTTTTTTTGCATTCGAAATTTATATAATATGGTGTTTCTGTTTAAATATATATTTACTAAGAAATCGATAAAATATTATTGATTCGACTGGAACTATTTTTAAAAAATATTTTATTATTGAAAACGATGAAACTAGCCGACGATGAAAAAATAAAACCGCCACCGATTTGTATCTGGGTGCACAGGTCTACACATTTGCAATTTCGCATTTAGTAGTATATTGTATAGTCATTTAATAATTTTACATTCGTGTTGATTTAGTTTATAAATTTGATATTCTATTCTTAATATGACTATCTTTAAAATACATATTTTTTTAGATTAGGTAAAAAGTTTGAACAGACATTTGGCAAGGAAAATTTGCAAGTTGTCCGAGTTTTACAAGTTTTTATATATATTTGCCTATTATTTAACTTCTACAAATTTATAAAATGTACATAAATTAGCAACAAGAAAGTCCTAAATTTTTATCTCATTTCAAAAGAAAATTTATAATTCATTGTGGACCAAGAATAAAAAACAAGAGTATCACAGTTCATGAGAAAAATTTACAAAATCATGATGTGATAAATATGATGGCACCATCATTATACCAAATTAGAACGAATAATTTCACGACTTTCTATACAAGATGTATACAAATACAAAAATGTGATTCTACCCTTTTAAATAGTGCATTTTGGTATGTTAATTTATGAATTTAAACTGGAATTATCAATATTTTTTAAAGGCAAGAAAATTCTACGTTTTTAAGTTTATTGATTATGTCTTTTTAAAATTAGAGATTAATAAAATATTTCAAATTTAACTTAAAAAATACAATAAATAATTATATCTTTATTTTCTTAAGTTATATTTTGAAAATACCATTTCAAAATTCCTTCAATGAAGAACCAGGGCTTTGTTATGCGTGGATAGGCAGCCAAGCTTGTGCTAATGATATCGAAATAATTGAAGAATTGGCTTACAAAATATCTCCAGTTAAAAATTTATTAATATTTTTTGTCTCTCGAAAGCATTGCAAAAATTAGGTGCGGCTCTTATTTTAATGTTTTATTAGTTTTGAGTAATCAAAAATATATAAAAAGAATGCCGGTTTTTTAAACTATGGTCAGGTTTTTTTGTTGAATAAAAATGCTCAATATTTTCATTTTATATTAAAACCCAAATATGATATTTTTAAAAAAATTGGCTAAAAATAATCCTAAATATCTAGCCTGGTAAATATCTACACCGTTAACCGTTAAGAGTACAAAAAATAAAAAAATTATATATAATAATGTGAGATCAAAAGGAGAAAATTTAAATATGAAAATTATTGAAATATTTAATATGAAATGCGGATTTCACACATTTGGCATATATGACATGACATTATCTGAATCTAAATATTTCCATAAATAATACCCAAGTCAATCTCATTTAAATACATTTTTAATAAGTCTTACAACTGGCGATGGAAGGTAGGGTGTTATTTTGGAAAACACCTTTATATTATGAAAATGACGACACTAAAATAATCATTCAAAGTTTGGTGGGTGTTAAAATTTATATCCTATCTATATCATTTTGAGTGTTAAAAATATATAATATTGAATCCTTCGGTTTTCTTCATTTGGAAACTTTGAAGTTTATCGACTAGTCGCTATGTCAATTCTTTTTTCTTCTTCTTCATCAGTATTACTAATATTAATCATCTCAGAATTTATAATATAGAAGTTATTATACCATATTTTCCATCCATTGTATAAAATAAAACTTGTATTTAATACATAAAAATAGGATATTTTAAAATAATAAACATAAAATAAAAATGTATTTAAAAACAATAGTTATATTTTTTATTTTAACAACTCCGGTAGGCACCCACTTATCTGATGAAAAATGTCAAACAAAAGACGCACATAATTACGACCATTATTTTTATTCACGTTTTTATGTTCTGGATTTATTAAGATGAATTAAATGAACATACCCTTAAAAATATCCTGAGTGTGTACCCGACACAATTATTTTTTTTAAACCGTTTCTTGAGCTTTTACTGATTTTTTAAATGATCAAAATCTTAGCTAAATAAATATTACCCAAGCTTCGAGATTTCGCCATAAGAAAGACCAAACCTTGCCACCATTTTGTGATATCTTGAGATTTAGGTATATTATCGACGTAACTGAGATTTTTAACAACAATAGCCCCCACAAATATTAATCAATATAATTTTTTGCTTATTTGATAGGATTATAATATTCAAGTTATCAAAGAAGGGAATGAACCTGAAAATTTCTTTTGGCCTGCTTTAGGTGGCAAAAATAATTATGAAAAAGTAAAAATTTAAATATATTTGGATATACATACAACATAATTTTTATAAATTGAAGGAAGCTAAATATATGAATTATCTTCGATTATTTCGCTGTTCTAATGATATGGGATATTTCAGGATAACTGAAAGATGCGCAGATTTTTGTCAGGTATTAAATTAATAAATATAAGGCCATAGTGTTAACTCTATTTTAATGATCCTTAGGTAATTAAAACAGAGATCCGAACTCGAACCAATACTAATTACCGAGCTCGAACCGTTAAAAGTTTTATCCCATGCACCTGTTTGAATCTTATCATATCCTTAAAGATTAACAATCAATTTTGATTAATCAATATCAGTCATCACCATTTTTAGATATTTGTATGGACTGCTATTTGGCAGTCAGTATTTAAATTGTATGGCTCAATAGCATTTTTATGAAAATAATTATCTATATTTGTAGAAAATAAGTGCTTCTCTGCATAATTATATTATATAAAATGGTTCAACCGATATTTGTTACAATTCGGATTTTTGATTTAAATATGATCTTTCTAGAATACTTGCATGTGTAAATTTTTTAAGATTCCAGAATCTACTGAAAAGAGATTAATTTTTAGTCTTGTTTGTGATTAATATATATGGAATAAGATTCAAAATTAAAAAATTCATAAAAGGCGAAACCGCTATAAAACATATTTATTATACAAATATCTTTAATAGGATGATTTATGTGATGAGGATATTATGCTTTTAGATGACGGGTCTAAAGTTTTTATTTGGATAGGCCCACAAAGTAGTGAAATAGAGATGAAATTAGCATTAAAGAGCGCCAAAGTATGTCTTAATAGCATAAATATAAATAAACTATATATTTAAGTTGTATCTAGAGCATCTTAATGTAATTCAAATGGACAAACCTAGAAAATTAATGTTTACTTTAAAGAATTATGAATCTTCGCATTTTAAAAAATGCTTCCATGCCTGGAACCATTATAAAAAAAATCTCAATTAATAAAAAAAAATTCATATAAAAAATAAGATATTTTACTCTCATAAATTATATGTACTATTTATTCAAGATGAGTATTCATATTTACTATAAATTTATTTATTAGTAATTTATGTCACATTAATTATATATCGCTAAAATTTGAATGACTTGAGAGGATCTACCATTTTCTGTTTCTAATAAATAATGTATTTTTAATTTCTTAATATTCTTCTAACTTTATATTTCGGTAATTTTTCATTATTTTTCTTGTGCGCTAAATTGTTGAGAGTAGAAGAATAGTTGGGAGTGAGCTCTTTAAAAGCGTTTGGAACTAAATTATAATTAAATATTGCTTATAATAATCATAATCAACATTAGTGTTATACTTAAATAGTCCGGTATATGTTTTAGATGAGATGCCACTTGGCTTTTCACAAGCGAATTTTTAATATTTAACGCATTATCGTGCCTCAAAACGGCGAAATCATGAGGATTATTGTGAAAAAATATTTTTAATTTTTCGTTATTTAAAATTTCTGTTTTTATCTCCTTAAATCTCGCTTCCTTTATCAATATACGAGTAATAGATTTATAGGCGTCAGTCGATCTATATCTAAAATCGGAAGCAATTTTGAATATGATATACGTTATAAATGATAAAACCTAAAACCGTCTAATTGTTTTATTGGAACGTTGAATGTTTTTATAATGGGCTCGAGAATGTTGAACGTACTGTTTTTAGGATTTAAATATTTCTCCACCTTTTTAAATATTTCGCACTCTTCATCCTTAATTAAAGATAAAGCGGTGCCATTATTGTCAGCTCTAGCCGTCCTATAAATTTTTAATGAAGTATTTTAAAGCAAACTATTTCGTAATTATTAACCTCCCTACTCTATGAATATATGATTTGACTGTTTTTGGGAAGTCAAAATTAACTACGTTCGATATTCGTTGAAAGTCAAGACCTCTCGAGGCTCTAAACTCTTTATCTTTTGCAAAACTTTAATTATATTTTATATAAACTATTTAAAACGATATTCAATACCTTTTTAAACTCTTCGCTTTATTACTAGTATTTATTTGTCTAAGCGATTCATCTGCAGCTATAACATAATCATATAAACCTTCATTAAATTGATTCATAATATGGCATCTTGATAACATATAGATAAAATGTAAGAATAGTAGGTACCTTGATAATAAAGGCAATTCGGAATTAAGTAAACAACACTTGATACCAAATAATTCCAAGTATAACTTAAGTCTATATTACAATATTATTGAATAAAAATTAAAATTAGTTTATACTTATAACCACGATCAATTGTATTAACAAAAAATATAGTTTTTCCACGTAATAACTTGAGCTTTAATAAGATGTAGCATAAAGTAAATTTTTCTTCATCCTCATCACATCTAAGCAGTTATCATTAAATTATAATAAAATGATATCAAATACCTAATGACATATTGAGATAGTTGTGTTTGCGGTGGTAGATTTGAATCCTTCAATTTAATGATTAACTAGTAAAAAAAAATATATAATGGTAAAGTGTAGTATATTATATACTGGATCATTAGGCATCATGTTTTTTAAAAATTTAATATCTTTATTTAGAGTTGCAGATATAAGTATTGTTTGGCAAGTTCTTGGTATATATCTAAAATTATATTTATTTTATGAAATTACAAATGATATAAAATAAATTAATACAAATCAACTCGCATGTCCTATAATTTAAAATGTTTGAAAGTCTAAAATTTTTATTTGTCAAATCGTCGGCTGATTATAGTCATATATATCCACTTGCAATTAGTTTTTTCGATAAATCAAATCCTTCAGATTAGCAATAAAAATATAATTTAGAAAAATACTGAGCAGACGAAATACTAAATTATTAATTGAGAAATATATATCACTTTTTCAAAAGGAATAAGTAGAATAATAAGGATAATCACCTAAGTTTAAAGTAAAGTTCCTCTCACAAATTGTGATACTACCCTAGTTTTTCATACATTTTCTGTGCAAAGCAAGAAAGTAAGCAACTACTATTTTGAAGAATATCAAAAATCTTGGGTAATAAATTAAATAGTTTTTGATGCTAATTTTTTTTTCTATGCAAGACAAGAAATAACAATAATTTTAGATTACAAAATAATTTATTCTCCATTGTTTGTTTGAAAATTGTGAAGCAGTCTTTATAAATTCAATTGAGAATAAGAGGTCATTATATATCTCTGGTTTATATCGACGGTGTTTGAGTGCTCCACTCGACATTTTGAAAATTTGAGTTATTGCCAATATATATAAAAATAAAAGCTTGATTGATAAATATTATTTTTGCGCTATTGCATATAACGATGTAATTTTTGCTCCATATACATATCCTATCCTACTATCTTATTTAATCACGTTGTAATTATAATTTTGGCTTTCCATATCTATTTCCAAATTATTTTAAATTGACTAGAAAATTTTTTAAAGAACAAGTTTTTATAACCTCTTATCAAATACAATATTATACAAAAATTTTATTAAATACTATAATTATTGCGATTTTTAATTTTCGTGGGAAATTTGCCAATTCATCAAGAATTTCGTTCGTTGTTAAAACCAAATCTCTGTGGATATTTAACAGAGCTGACCCATATAGCCGGGATTCGGAAGTAGTACTTTGTAAATAAGTTATCAACCTTATAAGTTGGAAAAGTTCCTTTCATTCGTACATGTTGTAATAGGCAAATATGAATATAAAACAACTTCAAAATATTTGGAAATTGAGCCAAGGTTTCCTTAAACCGATTGAGCGCATCAATAGCATGCTTAGATAAAATAGCCAAACATAGTAAATATATATACCATCAATATCGTAGGAATAAAATTTTGCTAAATATTTTTTACCAATAGTGGTATCAGAGGTAATAAAATTTGAAGATTGCTAAAGACTTGTTTTTTATCTAAAAACCGTACTTTAGGTTTAGTTTGCGATAAAGTATCTAAGAATGGATGAAAATGGTTATTTTATAATTCTTCAGTTGAGTCAACATTTATATTACATCAATTGTCAATGCTAGACTAGCTTTAATTAGTGTTATATCATAAGATTTAGCCTTCGATTCAACGTCTAGATAAATATTATGAAAATATTCATCTACATTCATTTTTATTTACATGTTCATATACATTTTCCGCCAAATCAATAACCTGAACCAAATCTAAATTTGGTTTTTGTAAATTTCTACAAAGTAGTGAGCTATAGGGAAATATTTTATTAATGCAACTAGCAGCAAAGATAAACTCTGATATTGCAGAAATTTGATGTGGAGGGGGGGAGGTAAAATTTTTATTAGCTGATATTTATGAAAACTCAATGTGGGTTAAATTTTCCCCTTTTTCTCTCCATTGGTTATGCGCCTGAAATGAGTAGTTTTAAAAAGATGATAAAATTTTATTGTATAAATGAATGAATACAACAAATTCCCATTTCAAATAGGTTTATGCAAATGAACAAAATTTAAAAATGCACACTTTTCAAAGTAGGAAGTTACCAAATTTATCAAGGCATTTTATAATAATAGTTAATAGGAATTTGATTGGAACTAAAAATTTGGTCAAATTAGGGAGTTTCTGAATAATCAAGAACCAAATTAAATAGGTGTGATTGAACATTGATTACATTAACATGGAATATATAAAATATTTATCTAAAAATTACATTAGTTAAATCAAATTTAGCATACTTAATTATTTTAATTGTTTTCTTTACTATTTGAACTTAAAGAGCTTGCATATCTAAATGTATAATTATTACATTTTTAAAGTTAATTTCAAAATTTTGCAAGAAGGAAATAGTTATTTCATAAATTATGAATGAAATATGTTGTTGAGTTTATATTAATATTTTATGAATATTTCGCTGAATTTTTTTTATTTTGCAAGATGTCATGTTATTTTTTGCAACAGTAAAATTATAAAACCTAAAACAGGGCATAGGCAGGTCTAAGAGTGATGATGCCCAAATGTCATTACTACAAAAAACAAATATGTCAAAATAATAAAGCTGTCACATTATATGTGTTCTATAAATTCTTTATAATTTATATTTATGAGAATTATTTTATAAAAATAAAATCATTATATTCTTTCAATCAATAATTAATATTTTTAGAAAAAATTGTAAATTTTAGTTAGTATACATCAGAAAAAAAGTTATGACTTAAGGGCTAAGTACAACCTGCTTTATATATATACATAAATAAAATATTATCTTTTTAACCTATAAAAAGTATACTTTATTTTAATATTTTTATTAATAAAATAAAAACTTTGTAAGTTGTCTGAAGTCTCCCCCATATCCAAATGATAAAAGTAAATCAGCCTCATCAACAACTAGCATTTCGATAAATGAAATGCTTATTTTATTTTCATCTAATAATGATAATATACTGGATGGAGTAGAAATAATGATATCATTATTATTATAAGGGTAATTCCTAAAAATTAATTTATTAAACCGAATAATGTATAAAATTTTACATATTCATTTTGTTATTTAGCTGGACAAAATTTATTTCATCTGAACAGGAATATGTCAATTTCTAAATTTTGCACCTATTTTAGATATTAATGATTTATAGAAATAAACTTTCAAATTTTCATATATTTGATTTGACAAGTCTTTAGAAGGGACCAAAATTAATGCTCTTATTTTTGAATCAGTTGAATGTATCTAATAAGAAAAAATATATAATTTCAAAAATATATAGGTACGTACTTCTTTATCATTTAATAATTTTTGAATAATTGGAATGAGAAAAATGGCCGTTTTTCCTGAACCTGTAAAAGCTTTGATTATTACATCTTTCCCAGCAATTACAATAGGTATTGCATCTTTTTGAATTATTGTAGGTTTTGCCCAACCCAGTTTTGCTATAGCCTGAAGATTTTTTAACTAAGTTTAAGATCATATCTAGATTACTTTTAGGAGCCTTTCGTCTAGTCCGAAAGATTTAAAATCCATGAATGAATGTTGATTAGTCTTAACCCTGTATTGCATGTACTATGTTAGAATAATTTTTTTTGGCAAACTAGATTTTTTATTTCTCTAGATACTATTGATAATCTCATGGCTCACTTTTTTTAAAAAAATTCTAAATTTCTTAGAAGATGAATGGTATGTGGATTTAAATACACATTATGCAATTAAGGATACAAATTTCAATCATTTCCACAATAATTTTTATTGTACTTTATATAAAATTTTATTTAAATACAACATAAAGGTTTAAACATTTTAATTTTCATGAAAATCTATAAAACAATTATTTGTGGTCGTAAAACATAAATATACACCACATTTTTTGCAAGATACTTTTGTTATAAATAAGCATCCTGGCATTTTACATCTACCCTTCTTATCATTATATTTTGGCCAATGAGCCGTGAGGTCTTTCCTAACCTCTTCAAGTGGTAAATATAGGGCTGGTCCTTTTTTACATTTTTCCCGATAACCAGTTTGAACTGATTTTCGTTTTGGTATATTGTTTGAAGTGCATTTGCCATATTTGCAAAGGACTTCCGCCACTGAAATTTTGAAATTGTACGAACTTAATCGATCCTTGCGTGCTATTGATATATTATTACAATCACGTTTATATAGCAACCATGAATTTATAAGTAACATGTCAAACATATGAAATAACTATGGTACCATTTTCTTGATTTCGTATGAATTCTATATAAGGAAAGTAAAGAATCCATGAGATCTACACCTCCCATTGATTTATTATATATTTTAACAATATTTGGACATTTTATCATGATTTTTTCCTTTTTTTTCCTATCATATCTTTCACAGTCTATTAGAGGATGTGCACCTACAAAAGTGCTTAATAAAGTCACAGCACGATTGTCGTGCCACATCACTGAATTTAGCTCCACTCCGTTTATTATTATTTTTTTTGAAACAAAAAATCCTCGCCTTTTTTTTAACTCCTTATCTGTTGGGAAGTTTATATTTGGAAGTCGATTACCTCTGACCGTGGCCGTGCAAAATATCCCTCTTTGAGCGAGTACGACTAGCAAATTTGGGGAACAAAACCAGTTATCAAAAAATAATTTATAATTAATTTGCTGCGGTATATAAGAAATTAAACGGAGCACAGCATTGCCACTTGCTCCAACATCAGGGAATCCTTCCGCTGCTAGTATTTTCCCAGAATATATTTCAAAATTATGCAGAAGGCCATCATCTCCACATAGTAGAAATACTTTATAGCCCCATTTTTTTGGCTTTTGAGGGTTATATTGTTTCAACCTGCTTATCCCTTTGTATGGAATAATTTGCTCATCTACGCAAATGTTTTCGTTTATCGATAAAGATTTTAGTATGTTATTGGTTAGAGTTATTAGGGGTCTGATTTTATGTAGTGGGTCATGGCCTTCACTTCCAAGTGGAATTCCAAACTATTTTTCTCATAGTGTTTTCTTTTTCATTATTGATATTTTCTTTTTCTTCCGAATCATCTTTCTCATTGAAATCTATATATTTATAGATTATATAAGAGCATAAATTTTAAATATACCTAAATCATTATTTTGTGTTGATAGAAACTCCTCATGAGAGGTTTCACTTAAATTTGAATCTTCACTATCATTAGGTATGTCCACGTATGATTATTACAAAATATAATTATCAAAAATAATAAATATATATAAAATAATTTCATAAACATTTATTTTTACCTTTTATTCATCTAATTTTAATGTTTTGAAATTTGTCAAATATATTATTTTTCCTTTTCCGATGGGTAGAAAATTGAGAAGAAAATTTTTATAAAAAAATAGCCATTTTTAAAAATAGGGTTTATTAAAATGCGAAATTAAAAATAAATAATAGATCACGTGGCCCAAATTAAAATTCCAATCGAAGATATAGAATATGGCTTCAAATACACACCATGCAATTTGTTTAAAATTTATTTATAAGATATTTATTATACAATTTGTAGTATGTGGAATGAGATACACAATATGCAATACAGGGTTAATGATATCATATTCTGAATAGTTTGAAAATATATTTTTTTATATAATCATAATTATGAAAATTTAAAAGGTTCCACACAAATATAAAAATAATATTTGTGAAAATAATTAATTCAAAGTAAGCAATTTCAACTAAATTTAATAGTAATGCGATTTTTAAAACAAAATAATTTTTTAAAATCGAAAAGTGGTCATGACGTCCTGTTTTTTAACCATTTAATATTATCCTCATGATAAGAAATTTCGCATCCTATTATCGTTAATGAAAGAGTTCTTGGGATAAAGTATTACAATTTAGTATAGAAATCCAGGATTATACCATAGAAAGTTGTGAAATACCCATTGGAAAATTTTATAAATAATTTTATTATGAATAATTTAATCGATGTATGCCTCTACAAGTCACATATAACCTGAAATATCATGTTTCATACATTATTATTTTTTTTATAATCAATTTATTTTTAGGCAACATAATCATTCAATCTCATCACACCACATATATTATTAAAAAAATTTAATCAATTTTTGGGTAATATAATCATTCAGTCTCAACTTTTAGTTACATCCAACCAGGGCCGTAATCAGGTCTAGTCTCTAAAAAATTACTCAACAATTAAGTCTGGCTTTCAAATTACTCAGAAATGTCTACAAAAATATATATAATACAAATCATATTGCACCAATAATTAGATTAATTGTATAAAATCAGGCATATTGCAAATATAGTTTCCTTAGAATTTAAATAAATAAATTAAAAGAATGATGAAATTTTTAAAACTATTAAATCTCATTAATTTAGAACTTTGGCACAAATAAATGAAATTTTTTCTAGTTAAATTTGCATCAATTTACTTTCCAAGGACATCAATAAAAAATGCCTACAATTTATTTTATCTCATATTTGCTCTAAGCCTATTTTAATTTTACTAAACGTTCTTTCACAATTCAATAGCCTAAAGTATAATCTATAATGTTAAAATATATTCATAAGCGGTATCGAGATTATTATAATCAGTTGTGTGCATATTTGCGGAAAAATTTAAAAATAGTGTATACATATCTTAATAATCTTGTTATTTCCCCATTTTTAAAATAACGAAGAGCTTCTGTTGGCATTATATTGTGTGTGTAACTTAACATAATCTTTGTTTTTCATTACTTTTAAAAGGAAATTCCCATGATTTAAATTTTTATTTCCAAATTTTATAAGTGTTTTGTTGTGGTCTAATCTTGTGTTGCATAATCGGCTAAAAACTTTGCTAATTAGGCTTAGCCTAAAAATCGGCTAAACTAATTAGGTATCAGCTAAATATTTCGGCTAATCGCCCGTCAGCATTACATAAGACTATGCCTAGCCTTAATTATTTTTCTTTTTATTATAAAAAATTATTTTATTTATATTTATTTCATAACGCTGAGGACGATAAACCGAACTCCTTATCATGTCTAATTTGTTTTAGCCGTAATTTTCTCATCTAAAAACTCGGTTAAGATGTCAAGCAACTTTGACTCATTTAAAGAAACATTTTTATTATTCAAAAAATCTATAGACTCTTCTAAATGAGACTTCTTGGCTATTTTATTTCCATCCATGTCTTCTAGAGATTCTGACCTAAGATCAACCCATTAAATGCAATGTCTATAACATATCTTTCAATGCATCTACTTGGATTTTTTATCCATTCTTATTATATTTATTACAAATATTGCCTTCTCTTTTAATGGAAAATTATTTCATTTTTCTTTCGGTTAATGAATATTGTAATGATTTTAAATTGTTTAACATTTCAATAACTGATATTTTTTTATGGACAAACCACAGATATGCGTTTTTTAAATCATTTTAAAAAATTTCTAATAAATGGTGAATTGTTAATTAAAAGAAAGTGCAATTTTACGCTTCATATATTTTAAGAAATGACATAAGGGAATAATAATCATATTTTTGTGTGATAATAAATTGTTTATAACCTAGCTCAAAGAATTCAAAAAGGTACAAGATGGGGATACATGAAAAAAATATAAAAAAATATTATTTATAAGTGAACAAATTAAAGTAAAATTAAAATAGATACTGGACAACTTTTGGGGGATTTTTCGTTATTTTTACAAATATTTACCCATTTCTCCAATGCTTTTAGACCATTTATTTTAAAGTATTCTGGAGAAGAAAAAAATTAGGGGGTACAACAATCTCCTCAAACAATATATCAATCTTTTCAATAACTTTCTTTTAAAATCTATTTTTGTCGTACTTAATTTTATTTTGCTATAATTTTTTTGCAATTTTTAATCATTCCCTTCCGACATTATAAATGTTTGTAAAACTCATCATAAATGTTTGTAAAATAAACAAATAAAGATAGTTCAAAATTTGCCAAAATTATTTGTCTCACAAACATTTTCTAATTTGATATAAAATATTTATACAAACATTTCAAAATATTTTTAGCATATGGATGCACAATTTAAAATCTATTTTATTTTTAGGATAAATTTATATATCCAAGTGTCTTAAATTTTAAAATGGGATCCACTGATTAACTTCCCCAGTCATTTCTTTTCCACTACCAAAAAAGTTTCAAATGGTATACCACTCATTTCTAATACCAAAAATTTTAAACTAAACTTAAGTTAAAAAAATAATAATAAATAGTAGCAATATTAATTTATATTAGACACTAGGGTAGAACAATTGTCTTATCAAAAACTTTTTACTAAGCTTAAAACAAAGTTTGTCAAATATTTCTTTTTTTCCTCGTGGAATAAAATATAATGGAAATGTCAATTTATTACTGGAACCAAAGATTTTAAAACCTTTCTAATATCAAAAACTCTAAACTCAGATTAAAACAAACAAAATTTTCTATATATTTTGTTTACCCGAGCCGACTCGGACTCATGAGGCCGACATGGTAGGGTCTAACCTATGGTTAAATAAGTTGACTCGGGTTTAATTTTTTTGGCTCAAACCCTGTTAAGTTTTCGGCCAAGCACACCTGGCCCAGCAATTTAACAACACCACCTATATTTTTTTAATATTATTT